CTTTATTTTTATTGTTTCTTTTATTTTTCTTATTTTATTTATTTTCTTTTTTAAATTTAGTTGACTTTTTGGGTTTTTTATTTTATTTATTTTCTTTTTTAATTTAACTATTTTTAGGATTTTTTTTATTTTTTATTTCTTTTTATCTTAGTAATCGTTTGTCTTTAATTTCGCAATTGGCATTTTTTTATGCCATAGACTTTTCTTTACATTTTTTTATCAATTTGTTTTTTAATATGTGGGATTTGTGGTTGTTTTATTTATTGCAATTTCTCAGTCTGTTAACTTTATTTTCATTTACTTCCCAGCATGTATGTATGTATGTATGTTTTTCTTTTCTGTTTAGATTATCATAATTTAACCTTCATCTTTTCATTTTGATCGATTTAATATTTTTATTTTACAAATCTAACATCCTTTTGGCCTCTTAGGGGTACTTTATAATCGATCAGAGATAAGTAATTCGGATCGAACTTTTATTTTCTATTTAACTTTCAATTTTCTTAATACAACTGAAAAATTAAATTAGTACCGAAAGGGCAGCTCAAGGGTGCTAATCCTTCCTTGATTGTAACGGACTCCTGAATCGACATATTTATGGTAAAATGCAGATCATGTAAGATGGTGTTCGATCAACCTAATTTTTTTTAAATTATCGGTGATGGCTCTAACGTGTTTTATTTAAGTCGAAACCCAATTCTGGTACACCTAAAAGACGGTTGCAACAGTATAAAAAATATTTTTTAAAACTAATTTATCATGCTGAATAGAAATTTGTTTTAATATTTTTGACAATGTGATTTATGGGGTTAATTTTCAATGTTGAACTACCAAATTAAGTCTTGAACATTGTTTCCAGTTAGAACTTCTGTGTTTCGCTTTAAGGCCAATTTAGTGGCATACTATGTGTTCTCATTGTATGGGCTTTTGATGGAACAAACTTGATTATTTACCTATTGTCGCGGATGTCTTTGGTTGGGCCCAGAATTGGGCTTCGACGTGAATGAATTGGGTTAGAGTCGCCACCGACCACTTTAAAATAAATTTAGGTGGGTTGGACACCATCTTACTTGATCTGCGTTGTACCAGAAACATGTCGGTTCGGGAGTCGGTTACGGTCAAGGAAGGATTAGCACCACTGAACCGCCCTTTCGGTACCAATTAATTTTTCGGTTGTCTTTATTGCGAAAATTAGAAATTTAAATTTAAATTACCCGATTCGAATTACTTACCTTTGATCGGTTGAAATTTCTCTAAAAAAAGGAGCGAAAATGTTAGTCAAGAAATAATAAATATTGAATAGATCCAAGGACAATATAGAAATAATAAAAAATAATAATTATGAAATCAAAAGAGAGGAAAAAAATAAGTCGATGAAATAGAACGAGATAAAAAAATGAATAATAATAATAATAATAATAATGCTAAATATAAAAAAAACAAATAAAAATATATAGCAATAATAAAAGGGACTGAATTGAAATAAAATCAAATTTGAGGGTCAATCTCGAAGTAAATCAAAGAAAGAATGAATTTCAATGGTCAAACTAAAATGTATAAATAATACGGGGGCCAAAATCATAGTTAATCCCAAAATGTTGGACACGCGTGTGAGATTACTATATAGAAAGGGTTAAACTGAGATTATCCCTAAAATTTTGAAGAACACGATGATACAGGGCCTCAAAACAACGTCATTTTGCTCATGCTATTTAAGCCCAACAATACCCCCTAAATCACTCATCCTTCCTCATTTCTCATATCTCCTCTCTCTCTAAACTAATATCACTCTCGTTTCTCTCTAGAGAGAGTACCACCGGTGGGAGCCCGGCCACCCGTCAGTCTCTGTCGAACGCCAGCGGCGGCCGGGAAAATCGAATCCTCACCGAATGCTCGTCTCCACCCCGGTCCCAAATCCGAGACCTATTTCTCCAAACAAAACCCCTATTGGCATAGATCTAAGCCAAAAGTCTCGACCTTTTACCTTTCCGGTGACCTTTCCGCTTCTGTTCTTGCCGTTTGGTCTTTGTGCTTCGTTGTTTTGCTTGTTCTCTCGGTCTTACTGTAGTATTCGTTTGGTTGTTGGTATTTTTGCGTGGTTCTTTGGTTCTGTTTTCTTTTCACCGTTCTGTGTTGATGGTGGTTTTTTGGTTTCTAGATATTTGCTGATTGTTCTCGTATACACTGTGTATTTTGTGGTCGTTGTTTCAGCGACTCTCGATGGTTTATGAGATGGTTGGCCTACTGTGATGGTTGTTGATGTTTTTCTTATTTGTGGTGTTTTGATGGTTTTGTGGTTGGCCTTTGGTTCGATGATGATGGGATTTTTGTGTGTTGGCCGATGATCTTGGGTTCTGTATTGGTACTGTGTGTATCTCTGTGTGGTTTTGGTTTACCGTTTTTGTGTGATTCTGTTCCGATGATCTCCTGTTGACCCCCTTGTTGTCGATGGTGGTGGGGTATTTATACCCACCACCGACGCGCCCTCAACTGGCTGTTCCCGCCATTATCGGACCGTTGCTTACTTGCCCGGCTAAAACGGGATGGGTCAGTCCCGATTAAGTCGAGACTTGCTGCCCCACGACTGAGTTCTGGCCAGATGTTTCGCCTGGTTATTCGGTGACTTCTGGCTGCCTTTGTGACTTATTCATGCGGCGCTGTGACATCGTGAAAACCCTAATCTACTATTAGGTTGGTTCAGGCTCAATCTGGACTGCTATTGGACCCTAAAAAACATAAAAGAAAATAATAAAAGAAAATGAATAAACAATAATAATAATATAATATAAATTATATAATATATATACTTCAAAAATATTTTTTAAAATTGTATATTATATTTAAAAAAGTTTTCAAAACTATATATTATATAGTTTTAAAAATATTATATAAGTTTTCAAAAAATGTTTTTAAAACTATATATTACATAATTTTTCCAAAAATGTTTTTAAAACTATATGTTATATAATATTTTTAAAAAATGTTTTTAAAATTATATATTATATAATTTTTTAAAATTGTTTTAAAAAACTATATACTATATAAGTTTTCAAAATGTTTTAAAAACTATATATTATATAAATTTTCAAAATGTTTTAAAAACTATATATTATATAAGTTTTCAAAATGTTTTAAAAACTATATAATATATAAATGTTTTCAAAATGTTTTCAAAACTATATATTATATATATTTTAAAAATATTTTCAAAAACCATATAATATATAAAACTTTCGAAAATCTTTTTCTGAAAATTATATATTATATTTTATCAAGAACATTTTCACAAACTATATTATATATATATATATATAATAAAAATATATAAAAAATAAAATAACTCCGGACGAAAATGAATGTCTACACCTATTTGATTGCACTTTGCACTTTTTTTATTAACGTGTTGTTTCACTTGTGGTACCCTTTTGGCGGTTGCCATTACTGGCATGCAAATGACACCTTTGAATTGAGGTGTAGGTTTATAAGAGCTTTTAGGAGCATTTACTATTTTTTTGGTGGCTTCTTTTATTTTTTTCCTTGGTTTTGGTCAGCTTTTCTCGGCTTCTGCGTTATTACTTTGGGATTGAGTGCTTTTTATATGGGCATTTCACATGTTGCTCATAAGTTCATGTTGTAAATCTTCATTCATTATCTGCTTTTTGTCGCATAACTACTATTACTAACATATTTACAATATTTATTTATTTCTGTAAGCGAGCTAACGCATAAACGCGATCAAGCTGCACATATATCTGCTCTTGCAGAAGCAAAGAAGCGTGAGGATGGTTTGAAGAGAGCTTTAGGAAGAAAGAATGCCTAGCAAGTGTATGGTCATTATTTGGAGCCTTGCTTTCTTGTAGTTATTTTCCTTTTTACTATTCTCAGCATTTCTATATGTTTCTTTGGACTTTGTTATTGGATTTTATAGATTGAAAAGGTTTTACATGAGATAAGTGTAGAGTCAGCTGAAACTAAGGTTGCAGCTGAAAGTAGATTAGATGAAGCACGTTCTATGATTCAGGATGCTGGGAAAATAATTGCAAAAACCGAGGCAAAGTTTCATGCTGCAAAGTCTTTACAGGCAGAAGCTGCCCTCATCCAACGCGATGCTAAGAGAAAGATCCAACAATTTGAAACACGTGAAGATGATTTTAGTAGACGTATTGTATTGTTCAAAAACGAGTATGTCGCATTGTGTTTTCCTTCTTCATGTTGTTGTACCGTCATTTTCCTTTTTACCATTTCTCTGTTTTTCCCCATTGGTTTGCAGTTGACATGCTTTTATTTCCTTGGAGGAAGTACTTGTGCTCTATATATCCTCTTTATTCATACAATGTAGTCTTTTCTTTGCTGGATCGCTATATGAATTAGGTCTTGTAATGAAAAGTTACTATAATTAAGAATCCACAACATGATTGCAAAGTAATCCTTTTAATCTGTTTATAAGAGAGAGACATGATTGAATCTCCTGTTGCTGAAAGTGAACAAGTAAATACTAATTGGCTGGGTCAGGGTGGTTTTCTGCAGATATATGCATACTTTGTTGCATTTATACTGTTTGCTGATGATAATATAATTCATACAATAATTTTTACCATGATTTCAGATTGTGCAACAATTGTATAAATTTTAATAGAATTTTGGTTCAGTGAGTGTTAATTATTTGGTCCTATGTTTTAGTTCTGATGCAAAAGAGAGAGAGATCACCCGTGAACGGCAAATGCTGAGTGAGAGGCAGAAGATTGTACAGCAAGAACATGAAAGACTGCTTGATGGACAAGCTTCCCTGAATCAAAGAGAGGAATATATTTTCAGTAGAACTCAAGAACTAAATCGACTTGGAAAGGAGTTGCAGGCTTCAAAAGTGGCTATTGAAAAGGAACGAAGAGCTTTGAAGGATGAGAAATCCAGCATTGAGTTGCCTTTAGTTTCTCTATCAAAAAAAGAGGAGATTCCATGTTTCATTTGCCCATAACAGTTTCTGATTTGGAGCGCCGTTTCAATGAATTTGTTGCTTTTACCACATTGAAAGTCATAATAATTCAGTTCCTCTCTTGTGCATGCAGGCCATTATTGAGCGAGAAATTTTTCTTAGCAAGAAAGAGAAAGAGCTACTTGTTTCTCAAGAGAAACTTGCAAACAAGGAATCTGTGAGTTACTTTGTTAAACACTCTTTAGTGTGTTCACTTTGTTTCTGTTTCGTTTATGGGAAATTTGTTCTTTTCACTGAATGATGCAGGGTGAATTTCGCAAGGTTATTGCTAGTCATGAAAATGCATTGAGAACCAGAAACTCTGAGTTTGAGGGCGAGCTTGAGCTCAAGCGCAAAATGGTGGAAGATGGGATTGAAATGAAGAGACGGGCATGGGAGTTAAAGGAGATGGATATAAATCACAAGGAGGATCAAATTTGTGAAAGAGAACATGATCTTGATGTTCGATTGAGGATATTAGCAGAGAAGGAGAAGGAAGTGGCTGAGAAGTCAAATCTCATAGATTTGAGTGCTTTTGAAAAAGAACTTGAGTTGAAGAAAGTCCTTTTAGAAAAAGAAAAGGAAGAGATGAGTAAAACGAAACTAGAGCTTCAGGAGTCACTGTCGTTATTGGAAGATAAAAGAAACCAGGTTGATCGCGCAAACGAGAAATTAGAAGCCCTGAGAAGAGATACACATGAATTATTAACTTTAGAATTGAAACTGAAGGAAGAACTTGATATAGTTAGGGCTCAAAAATTGGAGCTGATTGCTGATGTTGATAAGTTAAGGGTTTCAAATCACGGTCCGAAAAAGTGATAACGTCCGTGAAATAATGGTTTCACCGCTATCCGAGTTATCCGCTACGCCCGCAATTGTGCCGTGACGGCCTAAATAGCGCCCGCAACGGCCACAATCACGGTAAACCTGAAATGACCGAAAACACGACCACGACGCGATTTGAAACCCTGGATAGGTTGGAAGCAGCACGTGTTTGCGAGGAGAGAAGCAATTTCGAAGTATCTCAAGGATGAGCGTGATAGATTGAAATGGGAGCGCGAGCATAACAAGGATGTTGAATCATTGAATCGTGAGAGAGAGGACTTCATGAAAAAGATGGTGACTGAGCATTCTGATTGGTTCAATAAGATTCAAGTAGAGCGTGCTGATTTCTTGAATTGAAACCCAAAAGAGGGAGCTGGAAAATAGTATTGAGAAAAGCCGTGAAGAATTGGAAAGTTCTTTGAAGGAAAGAGAGGAAGCATTTGAGCGAGAAAAGAAAAATCAACTTGATCATATTATTGCTCTAAAGGAAATAACGGAGGAGGAGTTGGAACAAGCTACTTCAGAAATGAGAAGGCTTGATGCTGAGCGGTTAGAAATCAAGTTGGACCGTGAGAGAAGGGAACGTGAATGGGCTGAGTTGAACAAGTCTATTGAGGAGGTTATGTGCAAAGACACAAATTGAAGCAACAGAGGGAATTATTGCATGCCGATAGAAAAGAGATACGTGTAGAGATTGAAGAGCTAAAAAAGTTGGGGGACTCGAAAGCTGCTTTGGATAATATGACAGTGGCTCAAATGCATCGCTCTATTGTTGAGCTTAGTCAGCAGAAAGCATCTGGAAGAAGGAATCTGAAGCAGCAAGCTGTCATGCAAAATGTTGAATCTGGTTCGGATAAAAATGAAGTTGTTGCTCTGAATGGCAATGGATTCAACTCTCCAATGTCAAAACCAGATAGTACTCCTAGCTCATCCCGTTTCTCTTGGATCAAGTGCTGCAGTGATTTGATATTCAAACATACCCCTGACAAGGCTCAAATGAAGCCTGAAGAAAGATCTTTGATATCTGATCATGCAGATGGATGTTTGACACTAGCTGGAAGGAAAAGGAAAGTTGACAACATACCTTCAAATGGCACTAAAAATAGTAGGCAAAAGAAAGATGCTTCTGTAACTGCAGAGGACTGTACTCTCTGCATCTACTTCTGTACTTAAATTGATTTTTTCTTAGCATGTTCTCTTTACAATGTCATTTGTTATTTTTTCAGCGCAAATTCCATTGAACCAAATACAGTGCTGGATCAGCCTGCATTGATGTCATACAAGCAAATTCAAGGAGGTGCTGATGAGTCCAATGTTTTAATTGTTGATAGAGCAGTTGATATTTCTGAAGTAGCTGTAGTTTATGTAAAAAAGCTGTAGATGATTTTTCCAATCTAAGAAATATTCATGGAAGTGCTACAGGAAATAATGGTAAATCCAGAGAAGCATTTTTGGTGCAAAAAGAACATATGGGGAATGTTTCTCAAGTTACCAAGCCCTCTCGGGTAATTTATGGTTGGACTTGTCTGCAAGTTTCTTGCCATCTTATTAGTATCAGCATTCTACTAGACTCTTATTTACAATATGAATTCTTTGCTTCTTTTTTTCTAACCGATGTCACATCTCCATTTGTTAACAGTATCATTCCCTGTTTTTGAGCAAGTTAATACTTTCTCACAGTAGGTATACAAGTTGATGGCTTCCATCTTCTTGGAACTGTTCCATGGCATTTTCTCAGAGCAAAATTGCCCATCTTATTGCTGTCCATGTTTTCTTAATTCGATACATGCTTCATAACTCGCTTTCCTTGTCAGTCTTTGTTCTGTATCCTTAAGGTTTATGCAATTTTTGATTCTGTAGAAAAAGGAAGACAAGACAGGAGAAGTTGAACAGAAATTTGTAGATGATGCCGCTGCCAAACCAGGTGAGAATGAGAAAACCGAACTGAGGGTAGTTGTAGTAGCAATATAACTTCTTTTTAGCTGCTAAATTCGATTGAAGTTTTAATTATTTTGTGCAAAGGTGCTCCGTTGTTTCCTGTCTTGCATCCATATCTTACATGAAATCATGAGTTATCATTAAAACAATAGATGTCTGATAAGATGAAGGCATTATCTTAAACAATATGAATCGACTTTAACAACCCCGCAAGAAAATCTACTTTTTTTTCAGGCATTTTAACCTTTCCAAACCAAACCTACTATTGGTTTAAAATGAAACTTTATTTTGTTGACCTCGAAATCCAATTGTTAATCACATGTATGGAGGGCACTTGGCAGACCAGAATAAAACTCGGATCGAAAAAAATTAATTTTAAACTTTGAGTTATTCAAGTCAATTCTTATTAGTGATTTGAATTTTGAGTTTAGTCGAGTTTAGATTTTAAAAAAAGGAATATTGAAGTTGCACTATTTTTTGTCTTTAGCTAAGTAATTTGATTGTTTCACGATTTGGTTTTTGATTTCTTTGTTTTTCTCTTTAGTTTTAAGTCCATTTTAATCAAATTTGAACCAGCACTCCTCAAATAACATAAAATACCTATGTAATTTCATTAATCTTTTTTTACGATAATTTTTGTTTCAATTTATTCCCTCAATTTTATATTTTTATTCAATTTGATTATTAGATTGTAACTTTTTACAAAATTTTATTTCATCAGTTTCTTGACTCTTTTATTCTAATATCAATACTTTGTCATCAGAATCCACTCTTTAAAAAATAATATTACAAATATGTTATATAATTTTAGATGATATTTAATTTATTAAATAATACTATTTTTATAACCCAATTGAAAATGAGATCAAACAAGTCTGCTACAAAAACTCAACTAAAGACCATTTTACAAATTTTACAAACATAAAAGGGTATTGAACGCATTTTAAACCAATATCTAACATTAACAACCTTTCCTAACAAAACAAACCAGAGGGTACCAATATTGAATAGTTTAGTATCGACAGGCTATTAAAAATTTTGACAGAACTTACAATATCGATACTTACAATTTGATATTGAGATCATTCATTCATTATCGATAACGAGTAGGAAGTATCAATATTATCTGTGTAGAATTGCAGAATATTATCATTATATTTTAAAACATGACCGAAATGCTCGAAATTATTATTATTTTTCATTAGCCACCATAAAATTTTAAAATTCAATTTGTTCCCGCTTAATATAACGATTCATCGATTGAATTTAATAAATTCGTTCATTTAATTTAATCGCTTTTATTTCAAAGTTCCATTGTGAACCATATGACCCATAATCATATTCCATTTTCACAAACCATTATAATATCATCTATTCTTTAATTGAGCTATGATTTCATTTCTATAAATGCATATACATAATATATTAGTTATATACTCTTGCATACGTACATAATCCGACATTTAATTAGAATATATTTTAAACATCACAAATGAATGTGATCTTTAGAACCGATTTCAATGAATGAGGTTTTGACCTTCTTTTATACTCTATCTTAGGACAATCCCAAGAAGTCACATGACATACATTGATAGGTGGGATAAGAGGGTTTGATAAGATTCTGGACGAGGGTATAACAGATTCTTTTGTTAATTGGAAACATAATATGGTTACTATCAGTTATGTTTAGGCAATGATCTAATTAAAATCAAGAAGGCCTACATACGAAATTCAATTTTTTTTTACGAATCCAATGACTTTAGTAGTTGATAAATTGTTATTATTTTTTTATGTTTCGGATTCAAGCACTACATGTACGTAAATGTATGAACGTTTAATATCAAATGGTTAAAAGTTTTTTGAATAAATATTGCTTTTGAATATTTATTCCTTGTTTTATATATTTTTTTACGTCTTCTAACTACAAAATCAAGTGAAAAGCGAAAACCATGGAAGCTTTTTGTAGGAACTAGGAAAAGAAAAAATAATCTTTCTAGTCTATTCTGCAAGCTTTATATTTTTCTTTTCTTATTTTCCTCAAGTTGTCGACAACAAAATCTCCCAACATTGACATGCTTTTGCTTTCTTAAAGATGACAAAAACACATGAAGACAACCATTTTTTTATCACTGCAAACCGAGTAAAATCTCAACCTTTCTTTAAGCACTAATTAAACCCTAGAAAAGTTAACTTGATAGATTTCTTACAAGCAACTCTTGGTTCCAAACTTTACGTAGCGGGTGACGACTTCGAGACAAAACAAAACCAGTTTTAGCTTTTATTCGCATCTAAATCTCCACAATCTTTTACTTTTGGTTGAAAAATGTAATACGCGTACGTAAAAGAAGGAACTGAATTAAAGATACAATTGTTTATAATTATATATATGTAGTTCTTTTTCTAGATATGATCATCCATGGTGGTAACGTAATTTTTTTACAATTGAACCTAAATACACTGCATGCAAATCCCACATGGACTGAGTGCACTCTCTCTTTGTCTACAAATTAAGAAATCACTTAAAAAAATCGTTATATAATTCCAAAAGGAACTATCAACAATGTGTTCACACTAGCTAAAAATTGTAGCTGAAATAGCTTCATCGTTCGTCTTGCTCCCGGTCATGGAAGGATAGGAACGACAGCCGGGAAATCCATTTCTCGATGTGGGACTCTTTTGTTAAGCTCTTCAAATCTCGATGACTCTTATTTTTACTGCTAGTGGTTGAATTAACGAAGGATTTTAACCTTTGCATGGCGAGTTTCAGAGTATCTTCCGACATGTTAGCGAAGCAAACTCGGAACCATCCTGGTTCACTGCAATGACACGAAGAACCGGGAGAAATGTTCAGTTTAACATCGCAAACTATTCTTTCCCAAAGCTCCATTTCAGCTTCGAACGTGTTGGAGCTCAATAGGTGCCTCATATCAACCCAACAGAACAGCCCGGCATTGCTGTCTAAGCAGCCGATACCGGCTTTTTCGAGGCCAGAAACCATCTTCCTCTGTCTCTTTTGAAGCCTTTTCAAGTTTTTGGCAGTGTAATAGTTCCTGAATTTCTTATCGGATAACATAACTGAGAGAAGATATTGAGTTTGTGAAGAAACTAGGCCAAAACTGGACATTTTCGTGGCGGCGGATACAACAGTGGGATCGTTGGAGTAAATTGCTCCAACTCGAAAACCAGGGAGACCCAGATCCTTGGAAAGACCATAAACAATATGAACTCTATCCCAGACCTCAGTTTTTTCCAGGTTTCTCTCTTTCAAAACTTCCATGATACTAACGAAGCCTGGGGAGCTAAAAACAGTTCCCGAGTATATTTCGTCGCTTATTAAATGAATTTCTTTGTCAGTAATGAAGTTAATGAGAAGGTCCAGTTCGGCTCTTGTCATCGTTGTGCCCAATGGATTCGAAGGGTTGGTGATTAAGATCCCTTTCACCCTTAGGTTCTGTTTTCGAGCACGTTGATAAGCTTCTTCAATGGCGGATGCAGTGATTTGAAAACGGTTGGAGCTGGTACAGTGGATTGGTACAATCTCAACACCAGTTCTCCACTTGAGATCTCTATCAAATCTGTGAATATATCAATCATTAGAAAATGTTCGATTTTATGCAGAAAATTAAGCATTTTTGTTGTTAGTAATCAACATTCAACATACCCTGGGTAATATGGTGTAGGAAGAAGAAAAGCGTCGCGTTGTTCAGCGAGGCAAAACATGAGCGTTTCATTGGCAGAAGTTGCACCTGCGGTGAGTACTACGTGATTTGGATCAAAAGTTACTTTGTTTCCTCTGATTTCTGCCATGAAATCAACCAAGGCCTGTTGATAATAGAAGATCATCAAAAACCAAGGAATACTATCGTTTTTTATGTTATAAAATGATAGATTTTGTTGAGCTTTTAAGCCTACCTTTTTGAATTCAGGAAGACCATGATAATCCTGGAAAAGAGCAAGCTCTCTGAAAATGGATTTCCCATCTCTCTTGCACCCAACAGCGTCTGGGTTTTTGGCCAGCCATGACTCAAGAAGATCAAACGAGAGCTGCAAAATAAACATTAAAAAAAACTTGAAAATTTGCATTTTTAACATTTTAACAAGCTAGTGCATAAGAAAGGTGCGTGAAGAGATTCCATTTTCCGGGCTTCTGTAAATTACCTGATTCTCTGCAAGACCCATTTGAATGATTCCTTGAGGGTTGTGGAGTTGATGGTAAGGGTTTTTCTCGTATTCCTGCAATCCTAGGAAGTAAGAAGAATCTTGTCCATGAGAGTTGAACGTGGCTTTTCTTGACAACAACACCATTTTTTCTTCACAAAAAGAACCAAAAAAAGGAAGATTGATGGGAGTAAGTAAAATGATAGCTTTGAGTTTGCTGTTGAAAATACAGAAAATTTCCTTCGATTGTCGTTGTTAATGGCGATCGATATTTGGCCTGCCAATTGGGTGTATATATATATATATCTGAAGTAAATTTAAAATATTTCAAAAATATTAAACCAGAAAATAAAAGTCAATGCTGACATGGAACCGATTGTTTGCTGGTCGATATGTTCCCTTTCCTGTCTTCCCAGCTAACCCAATGTCGGCCACTTTGTTTGATCTCCCTCACTAACCAGCTTAACTTGTACTATTTAAAAAAAAAAGTTAAATGGTCTTCAAATTAATTTTATTTATAATATTTTTAACCAATTTTGATCATAATTTGAAGATATTAAACACATGGACGGTGGAGATTGGTACTACAAATCTGTGTTCCTCGATGATAAAGCAAAATAAATAGAAGAAGGGATAGACGTAGATTCGTTTAATTTGGTTATAGCATATTTTCGTAATATATACAATTAAATTATCACAGAAATAATTAAAATTTAATACTATAAAACTGTACGAGATATAGTGAAGAAAACATTATATGAGAAAGATAATATCATTTTTTACCACACTGATATTTAACCTATAGATCAATTAATTTAGATTGAGTACCGTAAAAATTATTATATAAACGACTCTTAATTTAATTTGTTTATTCATAACCTTGGGAATAAAATATTTAATCTTATTTAAAAGATCTAATGCGTTATCTGACTAAACTAACATACTAATAAAAATGATAACGGTAAGTGGTTGAATAAAATGATAATTAAAATATTTAATCTTATTTTGAGGCATATAAGCCGGACTACAAATAAGGTGGCAGATCGACTAGCTAAGATTACCATAACAAGAGGAGAGGTTCATAAGGTATTCTCCGTTCCACCGCGGGAAGTGGTTGAATTAGTTCAACAGGAAGCTGCCGACTATATTTTGACAGCAGAAGCTTAATCTACTACAGTTTATTTCTTTTGTTCACCAAAAAAAAAACCCTTTGTATTTCTCTCTTTATTTCCTTCTTTTTATAAATTTGGAAGGAATCTATTAGCATGAATCATATTCATAGTATTATCTAAAGTCTCGACAAATAAAAATCATTCATCTCATCTTTTTTTATCATATCTATAATTCACTCATAATTAACTTCTAAGTAAATGTCCACTTCCATAATTACATGGAAAAAAATGAAGATTCATCTTTAAAAAGATAACATGAAATAAAAAAGTGAGATGGATAATTTTTATTAATTAAGACAATAAATGATGTGATGAATATGATTCATGTATTAATTTCTTTATGTTAATCACATTTTACTATTTGATTGTTTTGTAGTTTAATGTCATAAATACAAGAAATTATAATAAAAATAAATGAATGTAACACCTCAAATTTAATGAAATTAGGACTAAATTGAAAGATTCGGAACCTTGCATCCTAGATTTGAACTTTTAAGAAGTTCAATGACTAAAAGTGAAATTATTCCATTTCTGGTTAATTTAAACAAGGGTTAAGGTCGGTGGGCTTTGAACCCAAACAATTAGGTATGGTGAACCATGACCTAGCCATTAGGCTAAGGCGCTATTAGTGTCAGAATTCCATTTTATTTATTTTAAAAAGATTACAGATGGATTTTAAATCCCAAAATCATATAGATCCTAGGGACGATCGAACCAAATTTCCCTAAAATTTATCTTCCCTATTGCCATCTCTTCTGCCTCGAACAGTCGTCCTCTGACCACCGTGTCGTGCACCTCCAGTATTGTTGTGACCAGCGTCCACCCACAACTAAAACCCCTCAAATCGTCCATCGTAAAAGGCCTTTGATTATCGTAAACCGTCCTTCGATATGCTTCAATAAAACCATCGTTGCTGTGAATTTTATCATAATTTTACGTCGATTTTGCCACCATCGTCACTGAGTTCCTTACTAGGTTCTGACCAAACCCAACCCCTCCAATCCCTTGTCGCCATCGAATCCTCCTTCGTCGACGTGGGTAAGCTCGAATTTAAGTTTTCGGTGATTTTGGAGAATTTTGTTGTGATTTTTGGGTTGATATTGATTAATTCGAGTATGCGGATGATCAGACTCAAACTACATTCATAGACACAATAAGACTGATAAGAAATGATTTCAAGTACAATGATTAGTCTGAAGAGCAAATCACCTCGAAATCTCTAAATTCTATTCATCATCGTTAAAAGCTTTAATACTGAAATTACTTGATTATAAAATTACAAAATTGCCCCTATGAGGTAAAAATGGTTGGACTGACTTGAGAGCGAAAGTACTTTGAGAATTCATATTTAATTCGACTAATCACTGTTTCATCTATTAAAATTCCTGATCTACTCGGAGTCACTGATAATCGGATCCTAACATTGGAGTAGGTACAAGACTTATAATTGTTGATTTATCAACAAACACCTAAAGACTAAAATATTGGAAGTATTATTTGTAACACCTACGACCCGTATACTGATGTCAATACATGTTATAGATGTCACATGAATTACTTAAAACATTTTTCAACTCAAAAGTAATTTAAAATTTATTTCCTTCAAATTGTAACTGATAATATAAAATATTAAATCACATAAAATTTTAGCATAATATTTAAAACATATATTAATATAAAACACATCCCTTTATAATAATAATACTGATTCATACTATCCATAGTGAAATAGAGTAAAACAATGTAGTTTAGCCATTACAAACCAGTTCCAAAATAGTTCACAGAGCAACTAGGACATTCAAGTGTACATGCCACTAACTAAGTCAAAATCACATCAAAGGATGTCTTACTGATATTGTAATATCTCTTTGATGTTGGAGTTTCTCGGTACTCCTTACTCCTACTCCTACTCCTGATCTTTACCTACGCGTGAAAATCATCACATGCTAAGTATATACTTAGTGAGGCAATTAAAATAATAAACATTGCAATACAATTCATGCATGAATTTAAACATTATTTTCAATGCAATAAGATCACTTTACCTGCATGACTAATTTTTTACCATAATCACAAGATAATAATATCATTATTCCAGCATTGAAATTATTATCAACCAAGTACTTTTACAAAGGCACAATTACATTTAAGCACCCCAACTATACGAATATTACATTTAAATCACCAAACTTCCATAATGGTCAAATTTCACATCTTATCACTCAAAACATAGTTCCAAACAACAATTTCCAGCATAGTCCATCAAGTATTAAACAATTACACAATAATTCAAAACTTTTCTAAAATTGTCGATTTGGTCCCCAACTTTTCAAAAATTACATAATGGTCCCAAATTTTTATAAGGCTTGTAGAATAATTCCTACATCATTTCCAGACCTTACATAATTTTCTCATCCAAACAAGCCATGGTTGAATGCTCTAGAGCTCTAAAACTAGAGTTTTCATGATTTTGCTCAATTTTGATTCGATTCAAGCATGAAATCTACTTCCATCCAACCTTACAATATTTCTACAATAAAAACCCTAATCAAATTTCATCAAAACACAAAGTTCTATAACTCTAGGAAGATTGAACAAGTTTTAACATCAAACAAGCTTGAAAATAAATCTACAACCTCAAAAACATCAAGATTCATCATTAATTTCATGAACCCTAATGTGAACACAAACCCTAGGATTTGGGATCTTTGAAATCAAACAAAACTAGCAATCATAAATGGTACAAAAAGATAGCGTTTATCGTGTAGAATAATTTTCTATTTCACAACATAACCGAAATCCAAAGGAAATTGCTAAAAAATGGAAAACAATTTTTTCTTATCTTTGGAGGGGTTCACGACAATGGAAAGAAGACGAATAAGTTGGCATGAAATTTTAGATTAATTTCATGCTAATTTACCTTTAATTTATGATTTAATAAATATTAAATTCATTTAATTGGGAAAAGACCAATTTACACTTAATGAAACTTCGTATTTACCATCAAACCAAGACACCTCAACCTTATCATCTTTCAAAAGTCAAAGATGAACAAACAAATTCACACTTTACCGATTTTCCCTTGAAATTTCCAAAAAATTACAATCTTACCACTTTAATCCAACGATCCAGATTTAACATGGAATTAAATCCTCAAATCCAATGGTTTATATTATTTGCCAACATTTTAAAATATGGAAATAATATTTTTAGGTCTAATTTATCATCCTTCAATTTTTCCTGAAATTCCTATTCAATCCGATTTATCGAATATTTTTCAAACGTTATCGCTTTATAACTTTTAATACAAAATCCGTACAAAATTTCTGATTCCAACAGAAACGTCATTCTTGAGGTAAACTATTTATTTACGAGACCGGATTGTAACTTTTTAAAATTACCATTTTAATCCCTAAACTTTTCTAAAGTTTATACTTTAATCACTTAACTTTTAAAAAAAATTTGGTCACTATCCAAAATTTGGGGTATTACACTATTCATGTTTGAATTATTTGGAAAAATTGAATTAAATGGAAATATTGTACGGAAAGAAATGGCTGGAATACCATTGAATTGTAAATTTAACCAAAATGCATTGTATTGTAAAAAGACCAAGATTTCCCTTGAAGGTGAAAAATAACCCAGAAATGACATATTTGACCAATTATAAAAAAATGCATATATTTGGATCGAAAGGAATTACCACAATGTCATTGAGCTACGAAATAACTAAAATAACCTCCGATATTCAAATAACTGAAATACCCCTGAACTCCAAAATGATTGAAATACCTAGAACTCCAAGATGACTGAAGTTACCTCGAGTGTTGAAGTAACCTAAATGTCCTAACGACTTGGAATAAGTGAATATATTTGGATAAATTCTAGAAACACCAATAACCTTATGTTGTATCGTACCTAAAGGCTATGGAGCATAACTTAATTAAACTGGGTATTCTAGATACTGATATATCGCAGAAAAATATAATACCATCAAATTCCTGATCGTCTCCTCTAGTTCCGTTCTGTGGTGATTCTGAAAGTGACCAGTTCAACCAGTGTAATCAATATTAAGAAATGATTATTCGTGAAGTATATCAGTCCAGATTATTGACAAGTTTTACATGTGGAGATCGATTAGTACGATTTGAATCGAAGTCATGATAATGTGATATAAATTCAGAATAATGAAAACTACCATTTTTATCCTTATTGGATTAAGTTACTAAGAATCCATTAGAAATTAAAATGTCCAAAATACTCCTATTTGCCTGAATAATGGGAACACTCATGTTATATATAATCTTCAATAACTCTGATGTGAAAGATTCTGAATATCTTCCTGATTACTTAGTGCCTTTGAAAAATATTTGAATATTATATGATCTTGATCGTTCACTTCCCAAATGATTGATGAATCCATTAGCTATCAAACCCCTTTTATAGGGATCTTGATTCTAAAATCCTATTAAATTACAAAAGTTTCATGATTCCCTACTTGATAAATACCAAGTACCTCCGAAGAATAATTGGATCCTCTAGTGTGTTCCCTATGTGACATATAATTGTTTTACCTATTTAAAACGTGATTTTCTGAAATTACAGATTTGCTGATGTTTTGATTTACTGTTAATGAACTATGGATACATGATATGTGTTCTTTGATTACATGTTTTCATTGGAAAATATAATCATTCCTGATTTATGGATCATGGTATCTACTGGTTACTACTTGAACTATTTTATTAGGACATTATCTGGGTATGATGGAGTATGGTGGTTCAGCTCGATCAAACTAGTAATTCTTTATATAGGTTCAGACCGATCAAGCTGGTAATTCCTTACGGACCTAAGGTGACCCTTAGGTAAACTCTGAGGCCTCGAGAAACTTTCTTGGGTAGGCTCTCAAGACCAAGGCACTCCTTTGGGTAAATCATGTGATTGCATATGGTGTATGGGTGGAAGGAATTCATGTGATTTAAATAACTACATGATCATTTTTACAATATACTACTAGATCATGATTTTGATATTATAGAGTACTGCTAAATATGATTTCTATTGGGGACTGTATTGGTAGGATGGAGTATGCAAGTTCAACTCTGTTAAACTGGTAATTCCTTATACAGGTTCAGACCGATTGAGCTGGTAATTCTTTATGGACCTATGGATACCATTGGGTAGGCATAGAGGCCTTAAGGTACTCCCTTAGGGTAGCTCATTTGCTGTGTGCTTAGGGTATGTCCTTATGGATGCAATTCTGGGGAACTGCATAAAGGTGTTCGGTTGGAGGGTATTACTATGGTTTTAACATATATTTTAAACTACTAACGTTTTTAAAGGATCTATATACACTACTACTCTGGTTATTGGAACACACTAGACATCCTTCTGATCTCCTGAACTTGGTTCTCTGAATGTTTCTTCTGAACTGAAATCTTCATGTCTTTTACTCGAAGAAATATCAGTGGAACCACATCTCATCCCGAAAACTTGTAGACGGCTAAATCAATAAGGAAAATTTATGCTTTTTCATTTATCTGCATGTCCTTAGCATCACTTGGTAGTTCTGTATTATTGAGCTTCCCAAAGCTCACTCTTTTATTCTCCATTTTAGGTTAAAAGAATTATTGATCCAGTGCAGCTATCGACAACTGTAATGGGAGTTCCATTGGCTTGGGTTGAAGAGAACGGTACAAGGGAAATTAGGGGGCATGTAGGTCACATTTGATTTTTATACTGAGTATGAACTTGTATGATTTTAGTTCCGTCTGTAATACATGAATGGTTTTTCTGAACTTGTATTTTACTTATAAATTGTTTTATGATTTTATGCGCTTTAACATAAATTTTAATTTTTCCTGGATTTTTATTATGAGTTGCTCCGGTGGCCCTAATGTGACACTCGGATCGGATCGGGTCACCCGTATCGGTCTGACGGTGTTACAATGACAATCGTTATATTTATAAAATATTAAATAATTAATTTAATTTAAACTAACAAACCACAATAAATTCAAACAATTCATTACAATAAATTTCAATCAAACCTACATATATAATTAAAAGATTAAACCTTAAAATTCTCAAGACGAGAGTGCTGAAATTGTATATTAGCGTTCATGATATTATTGATGAAGATTCATATGTTCTGGAAAGTAACAAAGTTATAAAATATTATAGACCAAAGCAGAAGAGAGTTTTTGTTTTTCTGTAAATGAAACCGACATTGTACCCCTTCACAAGTTGTACAAAGTGAAAATCAATTTTTGTCTTATCATGTTTTGCTGAGCGTTTCTTTGAAATTCGATTTACATGTTACTTCAAATTCTTCTTTTAGTTATCTGAGAGATGAAAATCAATAATATCATTCAGTGATAAATTTTAAGAGGTATTGGGTGCGGTCCTATCTTTAAAAATCTTAAATCTTTATATAGTTTAGATTTTTTTATATCGTTTTATTAATGATCTAATTTCGTACTATTAAATTTTTAGTACAACTTTTTAAGTTCACACTCTTAACATAAATTCTTGTGTGTATTGAAAAAGCCACGTGGTTTTGTTGTAGGAGAAGGGTTATTAGGGTATGCCGGCATGTGAAAGTGAAAACCCTTGCTTGCATGTCCCCACTAGGAGCCAGCAACAAGAGGCACCAAGGCCCCATTTCTCTGCATAAAGAATGTAGTTCCCGACCGGAAGGGACCAGAGGTGGCCCTAATTGGCTAACCAAGTGCCAAGTCTAAAGCCTTCCATTGGTGACAAGTAACATGACGCTGCGTTTTAGTCAATGGACCAATCGCACCATTTGTGTAACCTTTTCCACAATAACGTAGGCCCCTCTCCAATCCTCCATGAACGATACCTTTGTCTCTTCTTTATGACAATGATGCCTTGACGTAGGTAAAAATCCAATATTGAACAAGTTAAAAAACAACACAACACGTATAAAATTATCAATCAGACAAAATATCATAAAGGTGATGATAAAAAAATCCCATTTTGATTAAAGTCTTGGAATGGAAGAAAAACTATTTTTCTAAAGAAAATAAGTAATACATGTCGTGGAAACATTGAACTATGTAAAGTTTTCAAAGATGGGATGTTGGACTTTTTCGTGTGTGATTGAAGGGTTATGGATTTTTAGGATGTTTGTAGGAATTCAAGGTCAAATTGCATGGAAATTTATATATAAATAGGATATAACTTAATATTAGGTATTATTTTATTCAAATTCGTTTTCTTGAAGCTTAAAAATGGCTTGGACGGTCTTATCCAAATTGGTTCCAAGATTTACGAAAACCTTAGTGTTCAAGCGATGTGATGGTTATGTTTTCCTTGCCCAAATTAACCTTGTGAGTACAAAAAAAGTATGGAATCGATAGGGCAACTTAAACCTAGCTAAAAATCTTGTTCCATTATACTATCAAATTAAGGCAAACTTGAATATGAAGCTAGGTTTTGTATAGGGTATGGGCCCATTACGTTTGAAGACAGTTGATTTAGTTTTTGTCTATTAATTATATATCCAAGTGGGTCAAGTGATCTTGGAGTTCATGCATCATATGGGTCTCTTGTTAAATATGAGCAGATATGTTAGGGGTGAAAACTTAAGAAATTATATTAAAATATTAAGAGATGTGAAATTATAAAATTTTAAAAGTGCGAAATTAGCTTAAAATATAAGAAGGATATCTTAAATACAAGAGGATTTAAAATTTCTATAGGGTGAGACCGCACCTGATACTGCCTTGGTCGATCACTGCCTATGAGCCTGTTTTTTTTAATTATTTGGGCGCGCAGTGGTTTCATATGAAAACAATGACAGCCAGGCCAGGTGGTTTGCCCTGATTGTCAGTCCATAGAGACTCGATTTTCTCCACCCTGGCTTGAACGTGATTGTTAAATTTTATTGCCCCAATATTGGACATCAGAGGTTGTTGTTCCAAATACCACAAGGGGCATTTTGATGGGGGATTTCCTTTTGCATTATTTTCTTGATTGACTTGATTAGAATATAAATTTTTATTAATTAATTGACGAAATATTAGATTATTTAAAAGCATGTTACTATTGTGACATTGTCCTTGTAAATTTTTTTAAACAAGTTTATTGTACAATAAAACACGAATTTCCAGGGTTTGAGATAAAAAAAATGAAAGGAAAGAAAAACACCTGATGGCAAAAAGAGAATTCTTTGACACAGACAAACCTCAGACAAGAAGAAAAAGAGAATCGGAGGGCAGTACTCAAAATTTTTTCCATATATTCTCACTTTAGGTTCTTTCCTTTACTTTTGTTGATGGAAGATTAATTTTGTGATCCTGTGGTGATTTTTCAGTCTATGATGAACTAAACTCTGTTTTGTTGGACTGACGATTGATCTTGTTTCTTACCCAATACGTTTATACTTGACGGATTCACCCGATTACCTAGTATGGCAATACAACTAGTGACAATAATTTAATTTATAATATCTATTGTTTCGATATCTAAAATTTATCTGAAATCAAATAATAATATAATTAAATTTTTGTTTATTGATAGTGTATACACGCTTTACAGACGTAACTACTCGAACCAGAATGCATCAAAACTAACCTTAATTCTCTAAAGCCCATTAGACTAATCATTGATGAGAATGAAGAACTTCTTGGGTTGATGTTTAGATCGAATTCATAGTGAGGTAAAAATATGATGACTAATTATTGTTTTTACTTTGTGATCGAATATTTGATAATTTTGAAGTCTAAGATCAAGCTAGGGTTTATAGCTCAAATAAAAAGGAAAAGATTGATTATTTAATGCTTCATCTGATATTATTTTGAGAGTGTTATTTGTCACAAATCATCGTGATCATATCAAACACTTACATAGGTATCATTTTACAAACGAAAGTCGAAACTGTAGGAATACTTTGATATTAATTTTGAAAATTAATTTTAAAAGGTGTTGTAAAAGATATTTTTAAAAATGTTTTTAAAAAATGGAGTTTAAAATTTAACTGTTTGAGATTGTTGTTAAAAATGATTTTGGAAACATAAAATGTCAGTTTCAGACATTATGTTATAAATTTAAATTAAATGATTAAATATAAAAATATAATTTCACCCCAAAATGATTTTCCACAACAAAAACTAAAAAATTAAGCTTTTAAGTTTAGGTTGAAAATTACTTTCCAACCTGATTTTAAATTAATTTTCAAATATTTAGAATTACTTATAAGATAAAAAATACTTTTACATTACCAGAAGCGTTCTCGTACCGAAACTCTCAAAATTTATGAGACTTTTAGGAATCTAAGCTTCCATTCAATGCTAAAAATCATGCGTACCAAGCAACAACCTTGGAACATTCACCATTATGCTTTCATTTGCTCGTTGAAAGCTAAATGGTTTTCTCTTTGCTTTTCCATTTCACATTAAATCTGCATGGTTTGTATACGGTGTCAATGTTTAAGAAATATTATAAAAAAACACTATTATTATAATCACTTCAGACTATAAAAAATATGCCTATTAAATAAAATAAAATATAAATATTAACAATAAAGAAATCATCAAATGAACAATTTACTTATCAAATACAATTTTTTCCTTAATAAAAAAATATGGACTAATTTAGATAAATTTCCAATTCCTTAAGTTTTTTTTTCAGACCAACAAAGAATATAAACATATTTAATCATAATTCAGTGTAAACCTCTTTTAACAACTTAATACTTGAACTTGATTTTTTTTAAAAGTCACTTTAAAGCATTCGAAGAAAATCATTAAATCTTTAAAAATACTTGTTGATTTATTAAAACTAGTTTAAAGAACTCTTAATCTGCTTAAAAAATACAAATTTTGATTTGTAAAATAAAATGATTTAGGAATATGATTTCGAAACAAAAAATTTACCTCAATTGAAGAAGAAGAATGAAGAACCACTAAAATTTCTTGAAAAAACTATGGAAATGAGTTTTAAAATGAAGAATAAGATTAACATTTATGTGATTTTCAAAGAAATTGAAAGGATCTTTGATGTTTGGATGGGAAGAAAATCAAGTTAGTGAATAAGAAATTTTATATCAAGTCCTAATGTGATTATTGTGCGTAAAATCTCATTGATGCATGATTGCATTTTACAAAATTGAATGAATGTTAAATTATTTTAAAACCTTGAACTTTTTATATATGCTCGAATTGTACCTGAATGAACTCGTTTTGCTCCATTATTCGAATACATCACTTGTATGTTATACGTTCGGGTCGGGTTGAAATGTTACATAACTAAATATTAGAAAAGTCTAATTGATATTGTTGAATCACGAGTTAGTAATTATGCAGACCAAACAATTGAATGAGCGGTAATTGATTCATCGAAACCGATTTAGAATTTTATATTCAGAGTTGATAACTTTGTAGTTAATGATGCTTAGAATTCCTTTTATTAATTTGGATTACATAAAATGAATACTTAATATTTAGCAACTTGGAATTTGATCATAGTTAGAAAAATGTCAATCATCACTCTATATTTAGATTATTTTTTATTTTACTGAATTTCTTTAGTGTTAGTAATATTATATTAAGAGCTTCAAATAATCTCATTGATCTATTGATAAGCTAGATCGATTTCCACATCCAGACAACAATGTACTAAATAAATACATGCGAAACAAGTGTATTTTTTTCATCAATTGAATTAATAAATATCAAACGTGTAATGTTAGGGGAACTAACACCAGTGATATCAACATCTCTTTACCAAATTTAGTGTATACACGTAATCTGGGAGCAGAAGATATATTTACTTCACCTTCAAAGCATGACAAAACAAAAGTAATGAGAATTTCACCTTGATGAATTACTCTTTGAATCACTGATATGGTTTTAGGTGGAACACTTGACAAGCTGGCGGGTATGAACTCTTTGATGATGCAGCCTGCTCAAACTTCTTAGTGACAGCTTCATTTCCTTGTAAACTAATTTGGTCGAAAAATCGAACCCACCAAGTGGAACTCCGCATTTTGGCCTTCACATACGGAACATATGTGTTAATGATAAGGTCAACAAAGCACACTAATGTTAGTGTTTAGTGAAATAATTCAGAAACAAGGATCACAACAGGAACAGGTGGAAAAACCATATGAACTACAAACAAACCTTTTCGTTACCCCACTTACACTATCTTAAACTTCAAAATTTTGTTCCCGGTTGCTAATTTAGTGAAAGATATAAACCGAAACCCAATCTTTTGGACCTCTTTCTAGCTGAATATTTGAGACTACTTAAATTTCCAACTACTCGAAATGAAATCTCATCAATACTTTGATCAGCACAATTGTTTATTTTGTAATTGAAAGTCTAAACAATCGACATGAATATGATAATATCCAATAAATTTGATCTTGATGCATTACCTGAAACAAAAATGCTAAGTGGCAATTTTGATGAGATGAATGTTAAAAGATAGAATATGGCTTATTTCAATTCAAAATTCCATTGTTATAAGTAGATAGAGACTTACTGGCCGCCCAAATTTGGATAATTCTGCCACTTTAGCCTTCTGATGACCAGGGGAACCTGATCAACAAAATGAAAGCAATTAAAATTCAAACATACTGAAAGAAAGGATCAAATATGTTAAGGGGTAAAAGCTGTGATGAATCTCCAACTTGATTAAGAAAACCAAGAGACAATGTACTACATCTATCCAAAATTTCTGACGGCTTCAACTATAACCTCTAGGAAAGTTTCAAAGTAGTATAACTTCTCCAGACTGGTAATTAAGTGCTAGTATAAAGAAGAATTGTCTAGCATCTACCGGATTATAGTATTTCATATACATTTAGTGCCGGCAGTGTAGGTGCCTGGATGGTGTAACAAGTTATGCAGAAAAGGGACCAGAGAGATAAAAAAAAGTTTCAACATATGGACTTTTCGTGGAAGGCCATGGAGGTTACTCGTGCAGTGTTAACATAGACAGATGTCACTGTAATTACACCAGAAAAAAATTTCATTTACAAGACAGTTATTTCATGAGCAAATATATCTGGATATAAGCACCTTCATTGCCTGAGTAACTCTTAATTTTATAATTTATAAGAAACTCAAAAGAGGATTTACCTGCAAAAATAACTAGGCCGTCAGAGGCAACCCTTGCGAACTCAGGCAGAGTTTTGTTCAGGTACTTTGGAGACAAGTAATCAATGGCATCTGACACAATAACAAGAGAAAAAGACTTTGACCTATACGGAAGGGGGAACTTGATATCTGCCACACGTACAATGCCTTTTCCCACAAGACTCCTGCAATCTTCTTCAACATCCTCTATGTCATATGGTTCCACACCCCAGGCTTCAGTTCCCTCTTCTTTCAAAAGTTTGGAGACCACCAAACAGGTATCAGGGCCTACATGCAAAACCTTGTGCATGCTGTCACCATATGCCTTCTTCAAAAATGGTATTGCCCTCTGAACTTCTAGTGTGCATGTATAGTCACCTACAAAGATAACAAGAATTCATTGATTTTTGGACTGTTACACAACACTAAATGAAAATATACCCTTTTTCCGGTGCATGGCAATTCCGTTATAACCAAACTTCAAATGTTCCAGTTATCACAGAACACACAAACCATATCTGACTAATGTCACTACCACATATAAATGAGAATCCCTACAATTCCTCAGGCCATAATTAAATGAAATGGAAGGGACTAATTTTTGGATCCTACCTTATCTTTCAACTTCCCTTCCTCCAAAAAGCACTGAAGGAGAGGATCATGACAATTGGTAAGAGATTATTCTATGGAAAAAGAATCATAGGAAAGAAAGCCCCATAACAATGAAATGCAGGAGCAAGGCCTCTAATATCATTTTACCCTCCAAATACTCTCCAATGAATCCTAAAAAAAACAATCTTATTTATATGCTTTAAGAAACATATCCCCATAACAACTAACTGTTAACAATGTCCAAATCCACTCTCCTAAACTTAGCATTAGTGAATCCGCTAGATATTCAAGTAGTTCGAAGAGATGTCATGACAACATAGTGGCGAAAATCAAATAAAAAACAGTAACTAGACAAGTTAATTTCAATGTGAACATCAAATCCAATGAGGAAGAAAGTAAAACATAATTCACCTTGGAGCCGACTGACAACTCGGGATTTACCTGTATCCACCCAAAATGAACAGTATGGCCAATTAGTTGAACAAATAAAATTAGCATATTGAACAGCAAAACGAGTAAGCCAAAACAAGAAATTCCATTAATATGAAGAATACCCGAGCCACTATAGACGTAGCCAATAAGAAGGATAGCTCCCTGGAAGTTGATTTTTCAACAACAAAAAAGAGAGGATAAATGATTACATCAGTTAATTTAATAATAAATAAATAAAAGAAAAGGAATGAGATAGCTATACCACTATGACAAGACCAATAGATAAAATGGGAGAAGATCGGGATTTATATTGTAAGGCACCAGCGAAGGGGTAGTTTCCGCTGTCGACAAAGCGGCGCGTGGTACTAACTTGCCTTCTTGACATGTTATTCCTGTATTGAACAAATAACAGATTTAAACAAAATGTGAAGCTGTTTCATTGGAACAAGAAAGCATCGCCAAACAAACAAAATGAGAAATGAAAAGCAGATCCAAACCATAAGAAAGCTTTCGAATATAAGATAAAATGGAAGAAAAAACAATCAAGAGCGAATGGAAAACTCACCTTAGAGGAGAGAACTGATAAAATTGGATTTTGGATCTTAGATCTGTGGGAAACAGAAAACACCCTTGTTTTCGCTTTTCTAGTGCGAATAGAATACTATTCTGAGTTTGGATTTAAACCATTTATGATTTATGCTAAAAAGGAAAATATTTACAACTAGACGAGTTTGAAAAGGACTTGGATTGGTAACTCAGTGCCGGTATTTTTATTCTCACTATTTCTAGCTTTGCGTTTTCTTTTTAAAAATATAATTTATTAAAGGTAAAACTATTTCAGATTAGGGGTGTGTAAAATTATCCGACCCGGTTGACTCGACCTGTCGATCCGCCGACCCGGATATAAAAAATCGGGTAATTCTTTAAAAAAAATTACCCGGCCGGGTCGGGTACCCGGCCCGACATTTCCCGGGTCGGGCCCGGGTCACAAAATCTAGTTTTTTCAGGTACCCGGTTACCCGAGTACTCGGTTAGTTTTTATTTTTTTTTATTTTTTTATATATAATTATATAAAATATAATGAATTATTTATATTATGAATTATTATATTTTGTATTTTAAACTTTTAAATTTTATGTTCGGATATTAGAGTATGTAATTCGAAGTTTTGAACATTTAAATTTGTGTATATATTTTTTTAAATTAATAATTTGAAAATAAAAAATTAAAAACCGGGTATCGGGTATCCGATTACCGGGTACCCGCAAAATCCGGATACCTGATTACCGGGTACCCGTAACATCCGGATCGGGACACTGACAGAGAAATCGTCGACCCGAAAGTTCCGGGTACCCAGAAATCGGGTACCCGAAAATCCGGGTACCTGGATTTGCACACCCCTACTTCAGATATCGTTAAATTTTATTCGTAGATTTAATTATATTATTAAATTTTTAATAATTATAACAATAAATTTTAATTTTATATTTAATTATGTTATTTTATCGTTAAATCATTAATGAGATGATGACATTATTAACAGTTATTGATTTGACATATCATATAAAATGATGTTATTTTAATGTGATTGTCTTAATGCTTAGAACGATGTTATTTTAGATATTGAATTTTAACGGTGTATCGATTTTGTCACTAAATTTTTGAACATTTTATTTTTTTGACATTGCACTTTTTGGTTATCGCCTGCATGCAATCATTATCTGTTACTAATCATCTTTTGCGACAAAATTAGTGTCAAAATATTTACATTTCACTCATCATTCTTCTCATATAATTAATTTTTGATAAAACTCACTCAAAATCGATGAAATTAAATAAAAAAATTATTATTTTTAAATATTTGAAGACTTTCTTAAATTTACGGGATTTGAGGTATTTGTTCAAAAATTTAAACATTGAAAAATATTATTTCGAGAAGACAACAACATACCTAAAAATTACTCTTATTGGATCTGTCATTGAAAGAGATTAGAGTATTAATACATTAAACTTTAAAATGAATTTTGTCGATTTTAAGTGAGTTTTGTGGGGGAAAAAACTAATCCTGAGAAAAGAAAGTGGAGTGAAATAAGAATATTTTGGTATCGATCTTGTCGTAAAATATGACCAATGAAGGTAGTGTTTGGCTACCGACGGCAGTTGAAAAATATAGTGCTAAAAAATAAAACTGGTTAAAAGTTAAGTGGTAAAATTGATATACCCCTAAAATTCAGTATATAAAACGACATCGTTTTAGGCATCATAACAACCACACTAGGTCATTAACAAATATTAATTATGTCATCATCATGTAACTGATTTAACGACAAAGTGATATAATTAAATGTAAAACTAAAATTCAATGTTATAATTAATAAAAATTAAAAATTTAATAATATAAACAAATCAACGAATAAAATTTAATGATATATGAAATATTTTTCCCTATATTAAAAAACCCCCTCAAACTGCAACATCATATTTAAATAAGCCTTCATACTTATCTTGTAGTTGAATAATCCCCTAAACTATGGTGTGTACCCATTAAAACCCTTAATATAGTCATCACTTTTTTATGCTTATGTGAAGGATGAGGTGACGAAAGATAAATTCATTTTTTTATGATTTTACACATCACAATTTCATTGGTTATAAAGATGTAGTTTATGTCACTAACAAAACATTAAAATATATATTATCAAAATCATTTAAGAAATCATTTTTTCAAAAAAGTGTTAGTAATTATATAGTTTGAGAATTCAAATTTAACCTTGATATTATTAAATGTAATATTCAAGACTCAGTCCAGACGTTACAATCAAACCTAAAATGTCATATAATGAAAATCAATTAAAGCTCCTAATATTTTCAGAAAGTTTAAAATAAATCATTAAATTCAACATAAAATGATTTCAAAGTCACATGGCCAAAGATGAGTCTTAAATTAGTATTATTTGGAAATAAAGTTTAAGTTAAAAACGAGATCCTTTGGTTGATATCGAATCTAAACCTAAAGTACAAAATCAGCTTGGAATGAGAAAAAAAATCGGAGAATGAACTATAAAGTTCAGTGTAGTCTCTAAGTGCATAAAATAACAAGAGAGCGTGAGAATAACAAAATTTAACCAAAGATCATATTGTGTGTTGAAATTAACTAGAGATCAGGCATTAACACAACAGATGCAGACTTAGACTAAAATGACATGTCAGTGTGCAAATACGAGCTAATAAACCTCTAACTGTTCATTCATCCGCTAATCTCCATAGACGGTGTTTCCAAAACTCAAAATCACATTATTTCTCCAAACAGCGGGAATCGAGGTCTAGGTAACAATAGGAGTAGACGCTCAATAACAACGAAAGCTAAAACTCAATGCATCAAATCGCCAAGTCTTATTGTAATACGTCGAATCGCAAAGCCCATAAATAATATGATGAAGGATAAAACTCAGAACTAGTACGATGAATGAAAAAAACTCAACTAGTACAATGCATGACAAAGTCCACAACAATTCTTCCACTCGTGCAACTAAATACCCATGCAGAGTGCAAAATAACATAAGTGATTTTAGAAACATGACAATTGTGAGAGACTTTTTAGACTAAAAAAATTGTCATACGTAAGGGACCTGAAATACACAGTATTCTAACACATAATAGTTACAATCGTGCACACACTAAATTCATTGCCGAAATTCAAAGATCATAGCATTCATATATCAGATAAACTAGAAGTCATGCTTTTCAAATGTATATATCGTTATACTTTCATAGAACAATGCCTTCATATGACATACCAAGTGACTTTCAAAAAGGACAGTCATATGGCTGCTGTCGTAAAGCAGAACAACGAAACAGAGCATACAATCGATGAACCCTCAAACAAAGAATTGAAGATGGACATCGATGGTGAAAAGCGTCGACCAGGAATATGCTTATTGAGCAAAATATCACTACTGAAGAAATGGAAGATCTTAGGTGGAAATTCGAAGTGTCCTCCTAAAGCAAGAAATAGGCAAGGGACTTCGATTCGGAAATACTACAAATCAACAGGATGATTCACTCCCAGTGACCACTGGAGAAGGGGAACCGATAGGCATAATAACACCGGAAGATGTCATTGAAGTGCTTTTGCAAGTAAATGAACCATTTTTGCATCATTAAGATCTCAAAGAAGAAAAGGTATATATGACGGCCTTTAGCCCATGCAGGCGGAGATATTTGATCACACGGATCATCGCCATTAACACTAATGATATCTCCATACATAAAACACAAGCCTAAGGAAGATTTGATTATACATAAAGTACATTAAAATCTTAAGGTTGACCATTGGAAGGAAGAACTTTGAACTCTATTATCAAGGTCAGTCAATTATGACGACTGCTAAATTTGGGCAGTGTAAAATTAGTGGATTCAATAACAAACACACTGCATAGCAGAATACAAAGAATTACCAAGGTATAAAAATCTGCTGTGGAAGTTTATTCCATTATGTAAGTGTAGTCAAGTTCAATCCAATAAAACAGGTTTTGTCTATTTAATAAAGTACGATAAACTTATATTTAAACACAATTAGCATAACATGAAGGTAAACCATGCATACAAGGATTGCAAAGTCTAATCCAGAGTGTTGGTTGCCACCTGAATGAACTTGATTAATTTTCAAATTTTATCTACCCAAGTGGATGAATATAAGGAAATTCTTCATTCCATTACAAAAAGACCCAGGTATTAATATTATAGCCCATATTTTGAACATTTCAATTATAAGAAAAAGTTATTTCCCACCATTTGTTATTGTTGAGAGAGTCAAAGAGCAGAGACAGGAAGTTTGAAAAGCCACAGCCTCCTTGTTGAGCTGTTTCACGAACACAATTAATGTAGGAGCTCAGCAAAATGGTCAAAGAGGAATCAACGTGTGGGGTAAATAGGACTGCAGGTTCCTAGAAGGAAAACAAAGTTAATAATCAGGAGTTAACATTTTTCTAAAAAGAACATTCAGAATACACCACAATAATCTTCATATAAGCTATTATCTGAGGACGGGTCCAAAAGATGAGAAGAAAAACACGAAAGTCAAAACAATTTACGATTTAACACAAACCAGCTCAACTTGACTGAAGAAAACTATGTAGAGTATTCTTCATGTTTAGCTTAATTTTGTACAACTAAAAAGGGTAATGCAATGAAAAAAAGTGCTAAAAATGAATTTTGGTCATTACACCTTCAATTTCAAACAATTATCTTAAGCACTTGGGCAAATTCTTTCATGTCCAACCAATATGATTAAAAATTGAATAGTTTATCATCTTTGATCAATCTAGTAGACGCTATCACATATAGTATTGGTTTCTAGGAATGGCAGTGGTTTATTGGCTATTTTAGTATTTCTTAATAATTGATGCCATTAGATCTGCAAACTCAATAATAATTTCTATCCATTCAACCTTATAAAAGGATTCTATATGGCCTTGATCACGATCACCTATATAGGCCTATCAAGAGTTAGTCCAAAGGACCAGGATGCACACCACAAAAGATCCATTCATGCTTATCAAAATTATGCACCATGCTTCCGATATGCAAACTAGATCCACGGCGGCTCTGCTCTACTTCCACATGCCACTAAAAGATACAGCAAAACAAGAGAAAAAAAACTCATTTTCCCTCACAAAGAGTTACTATCAATCACATAACCAAGGGTTGTAGACTTGATTCGGATTTCGTTGCAGCCAACCAATTCTTGAATGAAAAGGCATTTCTAGGGAAGGAAAGCTAGATGTAATAAAGACAAGTACCAAAAAGTGATATGAGCAAGGGGAAAAAGTCTTGACATCTAAACGTGGTGACCATTGAGTTCTTTCCGGTTCCATCTACATGCAGAACAAGCTGATTGTTTTTAAAGAATATTGAGGCTTCCCCTTTCTCCACTCTGTACAAAATGCAAATCTCATTGCTGTCAGAGAAGCAATCTAAAGAAATAATTCTGTGATTGAGTTCACTACTTGACAAATGAAAACCTTTCATTGAAGCTACTAAATGTCGGATCTACTACGGGCTGAACCCCACCGACGTCGACGAGCCCTCCTCTTTCTACCATCTGTTTTTTCCTTCGCTTTTTCTTTCAAGTCCCTCTCCCCTCGCCGTTTATACATCTTAAAAGTAATCTCTCTATCTTCAGCCATTTTCCTCACCTTCTCTGTAATCTCAGCTGCAATCTGCCTGTTATACAGTTTCCTCAAACCCCTCATGAGCTTTGCAAAAGTATCCGGCTGTGGCATTAAATCTGCATCCATCATTTCCAGACAATACGAACAGGCCTCCTTCACATGGCCCTTTGAGAAAAGGGCGTGAATCCATATTGTCCATGCAGACACATTAAGTTCACAACCTTTACCAACAATACAACTCCAAACATCCTTGGCCATTTCAAGCTTCTCAGCTCTCAACAAAGAATTGAACAAATCCTTCATAACCCCATATTGAGGAACACAAAATAGACCACTTCCAACCATTTCTTTAAAATGCTCACAGGCTTCAACCAAGCACCCTTGTGCAATAAAACCATGGATCATAACAATAAAACTATCAACTCCGGGACTAAATCCACTTCTTTCCATCTCATTCCAAACACGCAAAGCTTCTTTAACTTCCTCTAACTTACAAGCTAATCGAATAATCACATTATAAATACCAGAATCTGGAACACAACCAATCTTCCTCATCTCCTCTATCAACTCCAAACACTTTTCTAACTCTTCCTTCTTCTCATGAGCCACCATAATATGCAAAAAGGTAGACGAATTTGGTATAAGACCTTTTGCTGTCATCCTATCCAAAAGCTCATAAGCTCTCTCAAGCTTCCCCCACTTACAAAACCCACTTAACAAAGTGGTATAAGCCATAACATCCCCTTGACAACCATTTTTCTCCATTTCATCAAAAACCCTCATTGCTTCTACCATTCTATCAGCCTTACAGAGCCCCTGAATTACAATGGTATATGAACAAGCATTCGGGCCAATCCCTTTCATCGTCATTTCTTTCAACAAATCAAAAGCATCCCCCATTTTGTTTCCCAAAACATATCCACTTAACAAATTGTTATAAACCACATTATCCAGCTCCAAACCAGCTTCTTTCATTTGAACCAACACATGTTTAGCTTCCAAAATCTTCCCTTCTTTACACCAACCATATAACAAAGAAGTAAAATATTTTAAATTAGGCTTAAATCTTACCTTCATCTCCTCAAAAACTAAAGCCGCTTCTTTTGCATTCCCATTTTTACACAAAGCATCTAATAATGCCCCAAATACGGCCTCATCTTGCGGGCAACCATACTTCGGCATTTCATCGAACACTTCAATGGCCTTTTTAACCATTCGTGAAGAAGCAAACCTTCTTATCAAAACAACAAATAATTCAGCCGTTATGAAATGGGGATTCTCATTTCTGATTTCTTCCAGTAGCGCCCAAACGGCACCGAATTGTCTCATTTTGCCTAAAATCTTAATCATTGATTTGTAAATTTCATAGCTTGGGTGATATCCGGGTTGTTTTGATGCCCAAGTGAAGAATCTGTAGCCCAAATTACCAGCATCGCCACAACGGTTCAAAACTCGTTCGGTTAAACCGTGGCGGAAAACGACGCCCGACTGTTGTAAAGCGAGGTTTAGCTTTGGGACTCGAGTGTGGAATTTCCGGAGGATTCTGTATATCTTTTCGACATCCGAAGCAAAGTCATCGGCATGATGATCGTTGTCGGGTTCAAAGTCGGGCTGTGGGGTTTTAAAGGTAACTAAGCCGAACCCAGGTTTAGAACTGGTCGAGAAGTTGTTGCTGTTCTCGTCATTATGGTAGTCGTTGCCGTTGTTGGGAATGGAGTGAAAGTGGTATATGTTTGGATACGAGGAGAGTGAAAGATAACGGTGTTTGGGTATAAGCGAGAGTGCCATGGCAGAAAATCTTCGCATTGTTTTATTCTGTTTGCAAAGGTGAAAGGTTTAAGCTAGTTCTCACCAGATGTATCCATTTTCTTGATTTTCTCGGAAGGAAAAGTTTTCAAAACGGTGAAGGGAAAATTTAGGTTAAATTACTAAAATGACGGAGTACCTTTTAATTAATTTAATTTTTTTAGACTTAATATAAAAAAATATTTAATTTTTTTTCGATTAGTATAGATGTTACAAAAAAACTATATTGACCAAAAAAAAAAGTAAGCACCTAAACATCTATAATGTTTTTTTAAAAACTATTCTTTAAAAAAACGTTATTACTTATATGACAGGTCACATAAGTTGTTTTTCCAACGCTGAAGACATCCGAGACCAAAATAAAAAGAAATAGAAATATTGAGTTAAAAATCACATAAATTTTATTAAAAGAAAATTAATGTTTTTTTATGGAAAGAAAAATATTGAGCTAAAAAATGTTGAAAAATAGTTAATCTTTTATTTTTTAAATTTTATATATAATATAAATTTAGTATTCTTATAATATTTTTTTAAAAAAATTATAAAAATTTTAGTTAAAATTATTGAAAACTATAAAATATTTAAAATATTTTTCTGATTTTATAATTTTGTAAATTATAAAGTTTATATAATTTAGTGATTTTTAACAAAATATTAAGTTTGGAAATTACAATAAAAGTGACTAATTTCTTGTTCTTTTAATAAAATTTATATAATTTTTTGTTTAATATTTTTATTTTTATTTTTCATTTTAGAGAAACATTTCATGTGACTTACCAGCATAAGCAAAGACGCTTTCTTGAGAAAAAATCTTTCAAAAGACGCTTTCAAATAGACACGTCTTCATCTTATGCGACAGAAATAGATGTCATTACAGAAAATAATTATTAATACTATTTTAGTTAAAATGAGAATAAAATAATATTATTTTAATAATTTAGTCGAAAATTTAAATACCAAGATTTTTCTCATGGCTAAAAACCCATCAATCATTTCAGCAAGCTCGAATTAATTAGATATGCTAACAGGACATAATATAGTATATTAGATTTTTAATCTTTCGGCTCAATAAATTTTATAATTCATGTGAAGAAATTTTCAAAATGAGTGTTATATATTGATATATACCATCAATATTACATATGAATATGTATTATTATTTTATTATATTTTTTAAAAACTTAAAAATCTAAAAGTTAATTAATTATGCTTAAAATTAGATTTTAATATATTTTTTAACTCTCACTCTTTTCCATCTATTTTTATTATAAGATATGGTTACAGGCAATTTTGGCCATTGGAAACCATTATAAGGATAGTATATCGACATTTTTGCCAGACATGAGAACCTTTAAGCACGTTCAACTGTAAAGGTATATGATTTCAGTATCTCTGACAAAAATGCCTAAATAATAAGAACAATTTCCTCTTTGATAACACAGCATCATCCTCATCATTAAGCATTATCGGAACATGTTTAATTTCATAACAAAGAATCTTGTAATATTTTCAGACTGTAGCATACATACCTAAACTCTCACAGACCTAATCTTTGATAACAGAGCATTGATCATATCAATGGACTTGGACGATTCTTCCTGCTTTCGAGCATCGTTCACCTTCAAACTCCTATTGCTTTTACTGGGAATTCGATTGCACCTGCTACCGACGAGTCTCCCAGCATTGTATGGGACTCGCGGCGGTGTTTTATTCGGTGTTTGGCTAAGTTAAGGCTGAACGGGGTCGGGTTGGGGAAAATGAAACCATTCTCGGTAGGTCAAAGTAGGGATGGCAAACGGGCGGGTCGGGTGCGGATACCCCCTCCCTCATCCCTATACCCACCTAATATTTTCCAATCCACCACATATGTTGGGTAAAAAATTTCAAATCCACACCCGCTCACGCGGGTACATTCTCAAATTCTTCCCCACACCAACTACCCAACTGAAGACGTACCTGGCTAGACCTGCCTGACAACTAGAGGTATGCAAAAAAATCCGATCCGACCGATCCGATCCAAAAATTCAGATATCCGATCCGTTTTTCAATTTTCGGATAGTTCAGATCGGGTATCTGAATTTATTTTTTGGATTATCGGATACGGATCGATAAAAAACCATGTTCGGATTATTCGAAAACTCGAAAAAAAATTTGGGCTATATTCGAAGACCAGAGGAGGTTTTCGCATAAGGCGTGGGCACGACTTATTCATCCTGAGCTATCGCAAAAGAAGTATGCAGTTAAGGCGTGGTCACGCCTTACCAGTCCTTAGAACCCTAAATTGAGACTTACTGTATACGAGGCCATCGTCTATAAACTTCAAAACCTCCGTTGTTTTAGTGGATTTCATGTCTCTTACCTCTTCGTTTATAGACCACCAACCACACTACCATATTAAGCTAAACCATCTACCAGTAGTCATTATCTGTCCTAATCATCTTCTTATATAAACCCAAAACTTCAACAAACCATTAGCGATAAGAATTACAAATGTTGGATAAACACCTAAACAAATCAATTATTTGAGTTGTAAAAATATTATGGACACAACTTTCTCTTAGTTATTTAAACAATGACTTTTTATTTGTTGTTGCACATGTTTCTAATTATAATAAAGTTTCACCTACCTAAAATTAAAACATTATTTTATCTCTTTCCCCACACCAGCAACCAAAAAGCTTATACAAATCTAAGCAAATGATCCAGGATGAATAAAATATAGACCGGTGTTTGGATCTTTACCTTTGCATTATCCCAATCCAGAAAAAGAAGATCAAATCTAAGTTGTATTGGTTTTGGGTTTTTTTTTCAAGATGTTTTTGTTTTTCAATGCATGATTATACAAATTATAATGCATAAATTATTCATAATTTTCAAAATCAGCGGAATGTGTGAATGCACTTAAATTTAGAAGAATATCAAAATCGATAATTCAATATATGTACATAGAATGTGTTTCTTAAAAATCAAAATCAATATATGAATGCTCTTAGATTCAACAGAATATCAAAATCAAAATATTGGAGTATTGACTATTGACCTTGTATCTTGAACAGAACTAAGAGGATTAGATCTGAAAACCGAAGTATTCACCTTACGATAAGTTAAAGCGGCCACAAACAACTTTGATGCAGCAAACAAGATTGGGGAAGGTGGTTTTGGATCTGTGTATAAGGTGACATACAACTCTACTACCCGCAGAGGAGAACAGAGTAAAGAAGAGGAAGAAGGCGTACATGAATGAGCTGGAGACTAGAGTTTGAAACTTAGAGAAGAAGAACTACCAGAATATTGGTGCAGTAATCAACAAGCAAAGCACGAGAGGTTTGAAAGAAAAAAATTGATTCATAAACTTATCCCTAATATTTGGTTAAATTATAAGTTATATCTTATACAATATTAAGATTTATAAATTAGTCTCTAAAATTATACCTAAATTCATAATGGTCCAAAATTTAATGGATATTTAGTGGGCGGGCCAATGTGGGGTGGGCGGATACGGGGCGGGTAAGGTCTCAAACCCATCATCCGCCCATTACCCGCGACGGGTGCCACTTTCTAAATCCACACCCGCCCACTACCCACTAAAGTTATACCCATCCCCGCCTCAATTGGAGTGGGTACAGTGTGAAATCTACGAAATTGTATCTGTTTGTCATCCCTAGGTCAAAAAGTTTATGGGGTTAGATTTATGGGAGAAAGATGAACAAACGTTTTCCATTATCAATTACTTTATAATATTATTAAATTACTAATAATTAAATTTACTATTATTATTTTTATTAAAAAATTATTTTTTATAATAAAAAGTAGATGAAAAAGAAAAGTTTTAAAATGATTTAGAAATAGTGGTCGGAAGTCGGTTATTGCTTCTAACAACTATAGATCCGAAACCCAAGAACTTATTTTTCTCTAACATAACATATACGTCTGTCTGTTTGTATGTGTTTTTTCTTTTTTAAGTTAACCGGTAATTTTTGGTTTTAAATTTGGAATAATTAGATTTTAATAAATGCGATGTCAACTTGCTTGTTTCATGTGCAAAGTATCAAACTCGGTCTATAAAGCATGGTTGTCATCCTCACAATCTCCTACGATTGGGGAAAAGCATTGTCAATGACATACCCTGAAGAAAATGTGGCAAACGTTTCAAGGACTCCTGCTTCAGCTGCAAATAGTATATTTTAATGTGCATCCTGAGTGTATCCCGCCGCCGTCTAGTTTCAAACATAAATACCATTTGCATCCGCTTGTGCTGGCAACCCCTATTGTTGAAGATGATTCGGCAGATTATTACTGCGATATGTGTGAGACAGAAAGGAATCCAGGACTCCAAGTTTATTTTTACAAAGAATGCAATTAAATTGCACATATTGATTGTGCATTTATGAGGTAAAAACACCAACAACTACTCTCTTTTTTCTCTTTTTGTTTTGTTTTGATTATTTGATATATGTTTGAAACTCAACTTTTGTGTTTAGACTCTTGAGCCTGCAAAATAGAATATACTCTTAGATCATCATGGAATGGAAGAGAATTCTGGGGACGAAAGTTTGGAATTAGAAGGGAGATTGCATCATAAAACGGTTAGTATCTGTTTAATGATTAACTAACGGTTATTGAAAACAAATGGAAGTAAAAGTAGAGAAAAACAAAACTCCATCTTTCAAACTATTTTGAACTTAATTGAATGTTGCCTCGTTTATTAAGCCGGGATTGAATCCTACAATATATGGAGCAGATCAATGACGATTGCACTTCTCGTCAAGAACATATTGGGGCTAGTCAATGGAGATTACCGTCGCGAGGATTTCACTGGTTCAATAGAGTCTCAATGGGATTGTTGTAATGCGCTAGTTTTATCTTGGATTCTCAACACCGTCCGCAAAGATCTGTCTGCAGGGATCGTCTTTGCATCCAAGGCGGCTCTTGTTTGGTCAGACCTAAATGAGCATTCTGACAAGGCTGATGGATCACACATCTTCCTCCATCGAGAAATTGCTACATCAGTTCAAGGTGATTCATCTATCTCAACATATTTTACACGATTAAAACAGCTATGGGATGAGTTTAGTGCCCTAGTTCCCCTTACATTTTGTGAATG